CTGTCTCCTGTTTCCTCACCCACCCTCAGTCCTGGCAACCACCAGTCTGTCCTCCGTTTCTAAAATATGATCACTGACATATAATCAGACATGTGTAACTTCTTAGGAACTGGGTCGGGTTCCACCCCCACCCCCCAGCATTTCCCTGGAGATTCATCCAAGTTGTGTGTGTGTGTGTGTTTTATTGCTGACTGGTATTCCATGGTACAGAAGTACCATAGGTCAACCAGTCATCTGTGGGAAAACTAGTCTGATTCCAGTTTGGGGCTCTTAAAAATAAAGCTTCTATGAACATTTGTATATAGGTTCTTGTATAAGCCTAAGTTTCGATTTTTCCTGGGATAAATGTCCAGGAGTGCAATTTCTGGGTCACATGGGGTGGTTGCACATTTAGTTTCTTAAAACTGCCTAACCGTTTTATAAAGTGACTGTACCATTTTGCATTTCTACCAGCAATGCATGAGTGACTGGGTTTCTCTGCATCCTTACTGATATTCATGTTGTCATTATCTCTTTATTTTAACCATTCCAGTATGTGGGCTTCCCAGGTGGCACTAGTGGTAAAGAACCTGCCTGCCAATGCAGGAGACAGGAGAGACATGGGTTCAGATCCCTGGGTTGGGAAGATCCCCAGGAGGAGGGCATGGCAATCCACTTCAGTATTCTTGCCTGGAGAATCTCATGGATGGAGGAGCTTTGTGGGCTACAGTCCATAAGTTTGCACAGAGTCAGATACAACTGAAGCGACTTAGCATGCAATATGTGTGTAGTTATGTCTCACTGAGCTTTTAATTTGCATTTCCCTGATGGCTAATGACGTTGAACATCTTTTCATGCAGTTTTTGCCATCTGTATGTTCAGTTAAATGTTCATGTCTTTTGTTCACTTTCTAATTGTGTTGTTTTGTTACTGGAGTTTTGCTAATTCTTTACATATTATAGACCCTAATCATTTGTCAAATACATGGCTTGCAAATATTTTCTCCCCAAGTTATAGCTTGCCTTTTCATCCTCTTCACGTGAACTTTTACAGAAGTTTTTAATTTTGATAGGGTCCATTGTATTAATTTTTCCTTTTATGACTTTTGATGTTAAGTCTAAGAATGCTTTACCTAGTTTGAGATCATGAAGGTTTTCTATGCTTTTTGTCCAAAAGTCTTACAGTTTTATGTTTTACACTTAAGTCCATGATCACTGTCACATATGCCATGAGGTGTAGGTGAAGGTTCATTTCTTTGCCTGTGGACGTTCAATTGCTCCAACTCCATTTATTGGAAAAGCTTCCTCCATTTCATTGACTTTACACTTTTGTCAAAAAGGTTGCAAGTACTTGTGTGGATCTATTTCTAGGTCTTATGTTCTCTTGATCTCTGTGTCTACCCCTCTAATAGCACACTGTCTTGATTACTATACTGTAGTTTTATGTATGTCCAGACTATGTTGATGCATATAATTTATAGGTTTATCTTTCTTGTAAAATTGTTATCTTCTTTGTATAATTGTAAATATCTTCCTTATCTAATTCTTTTTTTTTTTCACATCCATCTGGATCTAATTCTTTTCTTTACGTGGTGATCTTCTTTATCCCTAAAATGCTTATTGAATTAAAAGCCTGTGTTGTCGTTGTTCAGTTGCTAAATCATATCCAATTCTGCCACTCCATGGACTGCAGCATGTCAGGTTTCCCTATCCTTCACTATCTCCCTGACTTTCCTCAAATTCACGTCCATTGAGACAGTCATGTTGTCTAATCATCTCATCCTCTGCCACCCCTTCTCTTGTCCTGAATCTTTCCCAGCATCAAGGTCTTTTCCAAAGAGTCTGCTCTTTGCATCAGGTGGTCAAAATATTGGAGCTTCAGTCCTTCCGATCATTATTCAGGGTTGGTTTCCTTTAGGATTGATTGGTTTAATCTCCATGCTGTGCAAGGGACTCTCAAGAGTCTCCTCCAACACCACAAAGTCTGTATTGTCTGATAATTATTTTGCTCCCCAGGTAGCTTTACAACATTGACAATATTATTCTATTCTTCTGATTTCTGATGTTGAAATCCTCAGTCTATCTGATTATTGTTTCTTTTTTGAAGATGTGTCCTCTCTAGTTGATGTTAAGGTCATCTCTTTCTTCTTATCTGTCATTTCACCATGGTATGTTCAGGTGTGGATTTATTTTTATTTGCCTGTTCATGGCTGAGGATCTGTCTTGGATTGTTTCTGGAGAACTCTTGGTTGTTATTTCTTGGAACACTGACTCCATCCTCTCCAGTCCCTAACTCTATTGGATGTACAATGGACCCTCTCATCTGTCCGCCATGTTCGGGTCTTCATATTTTATGCGTCTCTCTCTGCTGCATATGGGGTAGTTTCTGCCCAGCACTTCTCCAGCTTATCAATTCTTCTTTCAGCTGGTTCACTCTGCTTCCTAACCATTTGTTCACTTGATTTCAATGCATATGCTTTTTTATTTAAATTTGTTTTTAATTGGAGGATAATTATAGTATGGTGTTGGTTTCTGCCATGCATTAACATGAGTCAGCCATAGGTATACTTCTGTCCCCTCCCTCTTGAACTTCCCTCCCACCTCCTCCCGTTCTACCCCTCTACGTTGTCACAGAGCACCAGATTATCCCTGTGTCATAGGGCAAATTCCCACCGGCTGTCTGTTTTGCATATGGTAATGTGTATGTCAATACTACCCCCTCAATTTGTCCCACCTGCTACTTCCCCCACTGTGTCAAGTCTGCTCTCTCTGTCTGCATCTCCACGGCTGCCCTGCAGTATTTCAATGCTTATGTTTTCCATGTCTAGAAGCTGCTTTTGGTTCTTTTTATTTTTGTTAATATCTTGTTCTTATGGTTCTGATTCCTGTTTTATATTTACATAAATATATTCCTATTTTATATTTATATTGGTTTTCATCAAACTCATTTCATGTGGCTTAGGTTGTTGTTCTCTTTTCTCAGATTCATGATTGTACTAGGCTGCGTCATTTTGTTTCCGTCTGGTACCTCCAGCAGTGCTGTTCCTCATGTGTTTTGTAATTTTAGATGGTGAATTCATCTTCCGGTTGGGTTTGGTTCTGTTTTCTGAAAGAATGCTGCATGAAAAGAACTCAGTCTCCCAAGAGACTAGTTTCGTTTGCATCTGCCATTTGCCCCAGATATATCGCAAGCCTGGGGTTTTTATACAGCTCTCTTAACTTGGCAGTCACCACCAAGTAAATTCAGACTTGGTGTAAGTGAGAAGTACAACCGCAGCTCTCAGCTTCTCACAAGAGGCTCTGTTCTCTCACACGGGAGTTCTCCCTTCCCTCCTTTGACGGAGGGTCATCCCCGGGTGGATGGGTTGGGCTCCATCAGTCCACCCTCCTCAATCCTTTACTGAGATGTAACCATCTGAGGGTCCCAGCCCGCGTGAGGGGGCTCCATCACAGCCCCGCCTTGAGCCCAGGCCCTTCGTCTCCTGTCCACATGAGTGTCACAGCCCAAGGACATTTTCTTCTTCTGGGGGCTGTGCTGGGTCATCTTTGCTGAGCGCAGGCTTTCTCTAGTTGTTAGTGGAGGCAGCTTCTCACTTCAGTGGCTTCTCCTGTTGCCATGCATGGGCTCTGGACCAGGCCCGGCATGCGGCCTGTGGGGTCCCCCTGGACCAGGCCCGGCATGCGGCCTGTGGGGTCCCCCTGGACCAGGCCCGGCATGCGGCCTGTGGGGTCCCCCTGGACCAGGGACAGAACCAGTGCCCCTTGCATTGCAAGGTGGATTCTTGACCACTTGACCACCAAGGAAGACATCTTCCCTTCTGCTGCGGCATCAGCCCCTACAAGGGCTGCTCTTCTTTCTGACCACAGGAGCCTCTTTCCTGTCTTACTGTTCAGGCAAGCAGTAAAATTATCGAAGTACATTTTGTCCAGCATTTCTAGGTGTTTGTGGCTGCAGAGTTTGTTTTCACTTATCTGCTTCCCATCTGAAATAGGAACTCTAATTTCTCTAAGCCTCAACTTTCTTCTCTGTAAAGTAATAGCACCTCCTTTGTGGGCTCCTTGTGAAGATTTAAATAAGATAAATGAGGTAAAATGCTTAGCATGGGGCCTGGCACATAGTAAGAACTCAAGGAATTTAAGTATCATTATTGTTACTCTAGAAAACTTGCAAACTTTGGAAAAGTAGAAAGAAAATCAGTACAGTACTGTGCTGTGCTTAGTCGCTCAGTCGTGTCCGACTCTTTGTGATCCTGCGAGGCTCCTCTCTCCAGACAAGAATACGGTGGGTAGCCGCCATTCCCTTCTCCAGAGGCTTTTCCCAGCCCAGGGATGGAACCTGGTCTCCTGCAGGTGGATTCTTTACTGTATGAGCTGTCAGGGAAGCCCTTTAAGACAATAGTAAAACAATAACATAACTTTGCATCTGCTTTTCTCATTCGATCAGTGCTTTAGTCAGCGTGGCTACCATCACAAAATACCAGAGTAAGTGGTTTGAACAGCAGACGTTTCTTTCTCCCCTCTCTGGAGACTAGACGTCTCAGGCTGGGGGGCCCACGTGGTTGATGTTTGATCAGGGACCTCCTCCTGGCTTGCAGATGGCTGCCTGCCTTCTGTGTCCTCACACAGCTCAGGGAGAAGGCACGCTCTCTGGTTTAGGCTTCTAAGGGCACTAATCTCATGACAAGGGCCCTGCCCGTATGACCTCATCCAACCCTGATTGTGTCTCAAAGGCTTCATCCCCAGATACCATCACATTGAGGGTTAGGGGGCTTCAGTGGGAGAATTTGAGGGGATGCAGTACAGTCCATGGCTATAAGATTTCTCTATTCAACAGCTGCCCCCCAGCTTGGAAGCCCCCCTGTGATCTTGGCAGGAATGAAATGATCAGATCCATCTTCTTACCTGGCCCTGCTCCTCCATCTCCCCCTTCTCTCCCCCTCCTCCCCTCCCCCGCCCCTCCATCTCCCCCTGCAGGTCGTTCTGGGGTTGGAGTTTTCCCCTCCAGTCACGTTCCAGCTCCGGGCTGGCTCTGGACCCGTGTTCCTCTGTGGCCAGGAACATTACAGTAAGTCCAAGCTTGGACCTAGTAAGGTCTTCGAGTACAGTGCCCGGCACAGGGACAAGGACGTAAGAGGTCCTCAAACACTTGAGCGATTCTTCATGGGTAGAAAAGATCGCCAAGGCAACAGAATCACCAGCAGCCTGGACCGAAGGCATGGACATGGGTCCTAGCCCCGGTCCTCCTTTACCCCTCCACCACATCCTCATGGACCAGAGACCCCTCAGCTGTAACACCGAGGCAGGGGGCGGTGCTTGGTTTCATCTTCCAAGCCTAGCTGTAAGGAATACATGCCGTATTCAGGAAAAGCACTTAATATAATTCCTGGTGGCAGCACACATTTAAACATTACCTGCTATGAAGTATTATTGTTTAGTCCCGAAGTCGCGTCTGACTCTTGGTGACCCCATGGGCAGAGCCCACCAGGCTCCTCTGTCCATGAGATTCTCCAGGCAAGAATACCGGAGTGGGTTGCCATTTTCTTCTCCAGGGGATCTTCCCGACCCAGGGAGCAAACACCTCTCCTGCGTTGGCAGGCGGATTCTTTACCACTTAGCCACCTGGGAAGTTTTGGGTTGGCCAAAAGTTCCTTCAGGTTTTCTGTATGCTGCTATGGGAAAACCCAGACGAACTTTTTGGCCAACCCAGTATGGAGCTGTGGCAGTAACATGGTCCCCGGCAGATCGCTGTGCTTTTCATGTCCCTTTAGCTGCCTTCTCTGTCCAGTGCGCCTCTTTCACCAGGGTTCTCTCCTGCTCCAGACCCCAGCCAGGTTCCACCTCCCTCAGGGTGAGCTCCTAGGCTGCGTCCCCAACCTCCCCCTCCTCCTCTCACATGCTCCTTCCCGCGTGCATCCCCTTCCTGCCGCCAGAGCTATTCCTCACCCCGTTCCCCCACCCTCCTGCCACGGCCTCAGCCCTCACCCGCTCGAGCTGCGCTTTGTCAGGGGGGCCAGAGTGTCTGCGGGAGGCAGGCAGGCAACGCTTCCCACTGCCACACTGGGAGATCTGGGAAGGGGAGCTGGGCAGAGGCCCTGCCCCATCTCCCATGCCATCGCTGACATTTCAGATCTATCCTGGGAGGAAGTGGAGGAGGAGGAGGAGGACCTGGAGGAGGAGGAAGATGATGATGATGATGATGAAGATGTTGATATGTTCCTGGAGGAGACGCCCGTCAAACAAGTGAAGAGGCTGGCGCCCCAGAAGCAGACAGGTGCTGCCAAGGTGAGGGAGAGGTGCCTCAGGGCTCCCCAAAACCTGGGCAGAGGCTCCAGGCAACCCCTGCCAGGTGCTCAGCCCAAGTCTTCTCTGGCCCTGGCCTCGCCCAAACTCCCCCTGATGCTCGTGTTGGTTTCCAGGAAAAAAAGATGGAAAAAAAAGAGGAGGCAGTAAGGTAACTCTTTCCATCTATTATATTAGCCAACGATTAGCATCTCTTTAAACGAGATACATAGTGCTTGAAAAGAGAATGCCTCACGTGTGTGCAGGTGCGTGGTGGGCGGGGACACATGTGCAGGTGTGTGGTGTGCAGGCCTCACGCGTGTGCAGGTGTGTGGTGGGTGGGGACACGCATGTGCAGGGACATGTGTGTGCAGGTGCATGGTGGGCAGGGACACGTGTGCAGGTGTGTGGTGGGCGGAGACACGTGGGGGGGGGGACACACGTGTGCAGGGACACAGTGGGCTGCTGCTGTTGGCTGGCAGAGCCTTTCTGAAAAGGATTAAGCAGTTCTTCCTGTCTGATTTCATTCCACTTGCGGCAGTTCCTTCCAAAGAACCCCATCTGAAATATGGGGGAAATTATTCCCAGGTGGCTCTGCATGCCAATACAGTAGATGCGAGTTTAATCCTTGGGTCGAGAAGATCCCCTGAAGAAGGAAATAGCAACCCACTCCAGTATTCTTGCCTGGGAAATCCCATGGACAGAGGAGTCTGAAAGTCTACAGTCTATGGGGTCACAAAGAGTCCAATACAACTTAGCAACTAAACAACATATGCACTAAGAAACTTATCACTTCATTATTCTAATAATAGTATAAAATGGAAGCATTCTAACATCCATCTATATAACAATTGCTTAAACTGTCACGTCTTCTCAATGGAATGCAACATAATGCCCATGAAGAATATAGCAACCTGAAAAGTGTTTATGAAATTCAAAGAACAGCATATTATTTTCATTTTATTTCACATGTTTTCAGGACAAACAAAAAAGTTCTGAAGGGAAACAAAATGTTAATATTGGTAGGAGGTAAAGAAAATTACAGGTAGTTTATTCTCGTCTCTGCTATATTTTGTGCAGGGTGGTTAACATCTTTTATGATGAGAAAGAAGTATTTGTGTCTTATACACAAATAAAGCAGATAGAAGTTTAAGAAAAAAAAAAAAAATCTTGTTTTGGAAAGAGTCAGTAACTTCCACCGGTGGTCCAGTGGTTAAGACTCCGTTCTTCCACTGCAGGGAGCACAGGTTTGATCCCTGGCTGGGGAGCTAAGATCCTGCATGCTTTGTGACACAGCCGAGAAATAATTTTTTAATAAAGAGAGTTGGTCCCTGGCAGGCGACGGGGTGGAGTGAGCCTCCCTAAATCACAGCCCCTGCTTCCTGGAGTGTCCAGGGCTCAGCTCTGCAGTCTGGGCTCTAGTACGAGGGCCTGGGGCTATTGGCAAGGAGCTGGGTCTCTCTCTAATCCATCTTCCCACTCCTTGTCCAACCCCACCCCATTCCAGACAGCACCTTAAAGGGAGTCCTGCTGGAAAGTGAGTACTGCTAAGAGGCTGTCCTCCTGGGGAAGTGGGGATGGTCTCTGGGAAGGTGCTAGGATGGGGAGGGGATGGGACACTGGAGCCCCCCTTCTCTCATATGCCAAATCCACACCCAGACCTAAAAAGCCAGGACGTTAAAAAGAGATGAGGAGCCAGGAGTGCCTGGCTGCAGTGACCGAGGGAGAACCCGTGAGACCACCGTGCTGAGTCTGAATGTGACGGACATCATGAGGGGCCAACCCAAGAGCCTCTCACCCCAGCTCTCGGTTGCTGCAGGAAGAGCCCTGACTCGGTCACAATAAAGGTTGCTTTGCTAGGACCTTGTTTCTGCGTGTCTCCGTCATAGCCGGCTGCAGTGAGCCCACATGTCCAGCAGAGGGAGGCCATGTGCCGGCACACCTGGACATGCCCACACCAGCTAGCTGTGTTCTGCTCTGTACCTTCCTCTCTTTCCCTGGCATCACCCCCATCCCCAGCTTTGGGGGAAGAACCAACTGTCTCAGCCCCTTCCCCAGCTTTGGGAGAGGGAGCTAGACCTGGGGTGGGTCTTCCTGCGTCCACACTCCCTTCTGGCAGGGCCCTGTCTGTCCAAGATACACAACTGAGGGGGGATAGCTGCCCACCACCCCCACCAGGAAGGGCCCAGCCTAGACCTGCTCTCCCAGGTCTGCATCCTGTCTGGAGGGAGCTGCTCACAGGGTGAAGGTATGTGTCAGTCTGTACCTTCAAGGGAACCTCCCAAGTGGGGAGACAGGCAGGCTTGCTGAAGCCTATAGAAGGTCTCTTCCAGAAGGTGGGCAGTGAACACTTTCAACTCCCAGGCTAGAATTCCCTGAGGGCAGCAGCCAGAGCAAGAACAGGGCTCAGTAAATTGCTGGCTTGGGGCCAACAGGATTGGAAGGGGGGTGAATGACTCATCACCTGGCGCTGGGCTTCTGCTCCCAGCAGCCTCCAGAGCCACTTTGAAGCCAGGTTCAACCATGGTGACATGCAGGTGGCTGTCCCATCGGGGTCTGCTTGCACAACCTCTCTGAGCTCCTCCCTGCCTCTAAGCAGCACCCCACTGGCCAGGCTGAAGTGGACCAGTGGGGAACTGGCCCTGCCCTCCCTCCCTAGGACCCCCAAGTATGGGTCCCAGGAGCTGGAGGTGTCTGAACACCTGCATCAGAAGGGCAGGCTTCAGTCTCCCTATTCAGCTTCCCTTGACGCCAGAAAGAAGTGGAGGTGGGCAGGGCGGGCGTTCTTTTTTTTCTTTTGGCTGTGCCGGGTGGGTCTTCACTGCTGTATGGGCTTTTCTCTGGTTGCAGCCAGTGGAGGCTCCTCCCTAGTTGCCCTGCTCGGGCTCCTCACTGAGGTGTCTCTCCCTGTTGCAGAGCATGGGCCCTGAGGCATGCACGCTTCAGCAGTTGCGGGTCCGCGGCCCGAGAGCACGGGCTCAGTCGCTGTGACACATGGGCTTAGTTGCTCTGCAGCATGTGGGATCTTCCCGGACCAGGAATCAAACCCATGTCCCCTGCGTTGGCAGTCCACTGTACCACCAGTGAAGTCCAGGGCTGGCGTTCTTGCTTCTGCTTTCTACACTCCATGAGGCAGATGTGAGTTTTGGCCTGCCTTCTAACAAGGGAGAACATGGTACTGACCTCAGTCACCCAGAGTGACAAGAGACATCAGGTCTGGCTTCAAGTAAGCAGCTGGCATTGACTGTGGCCTCATGCCACCAAGATACAGGGCAGGCAAGAGAAATTCCTTCAAGTGGCCTAGAGTCTGGTGGAAATAAAGGCAACAACGTAATTTCAATGAGCATCAAGCGCTGTGGAGGAAGTAAAACAGGCTAATTTCGATGGTGGGGGTGGCCTGTTTCGTTAGATCTGAGACGGTGCCTCAGAGGAGACCATGGACAGGAAAGGGATGATGGCTGCGTGTGGAGCTGGCAGAAGGACATTCCCAGGAGCAGAGGGTGCACAGGGCCTGAGGCGGAACAGGCACAGAGATACAGGCAGAAAGAAGGCATGATTGTGGCCACGACACCGTTAGCTGGGCACTGCTCTGAGTGCCTTCCGTGGGCTCACGCCTTTAATCCTCATGACTCTGCCCAGAGGAGGGTGTTATTCGCCCCATTTCCCAGATGTGGAAAGTGAGGTACAGAGAGGTTAAAAACTTGCCCCAAAGTCACAGAGCCAGGATTCAGGCTCAGGTAGTCTGACCCCCGGGCCCTGTTTGTAACCACCCTGTGGGTGAGAGGCAGACATGAAAGTCGGAGGGCACAAAGGTCTCAAACAGAGCAGGGGTGAGAGCTGAGTCCATGTGTAACTGGAGCCCAGGACGGGCAGCTCCGGAGCCCAGTGACAGCAAAGCCCGTGTTCCCCTGCTCCAGCCTCAGGCAAGCGCCCCTGATGTCCTCCTTTCCTCTGACTCAGCCACAGACAGTCAACAGCTAGACTGCTGATGTTTGATTTCCACGTGCTGGCTGGTGGTGGGGGTCAAACAGCAAAGATGGGGGGATCTGCACTGTTGCAGAGGCCTTTGCCCTTCACCCTTCCCCAGCCCAGGCTCTTCTGTCTGTCAACAGGAAAGGGGTGGGCTGAGGTCGAGCAGGTGGTGACAAGCGGCAGGCCTGCAGGTGGCCGCCTGTCTGCACAAGCTGGGCTGCTAGAGGCAGGCGTGAGACGTCCCCGCTGGGGGGGTGTTGAACTTGGCACTAGGGAATGGGATTAACCACCAGGGCCCAGGCTACTCCTCACTCCCCTTAGCACCTCCTGCCACCCCCATAAATGTTAATGAACTCCACCCTTCTGCCCCCTCCCAGCTCCCTCGCATCAGGGGAGAAAGTCAAAGTTTAGGTAAACTGAGGCTGGACTACGTAAGAGGGTCTCTGCCTCTCTCTCCCGAATTCCTGTAGCACTTGACACTTTTCAGAAAGTGTCCTTCCTCTTAGCTGATGTGATGGATGGTAGTTTTGACATCATCGCTTGTGGCCATTCCCTTTTGAAAACTTAGGAAGCTGAGACCAGAGGGGTGAAGGAACTTGCCACAGGTCACACAGCCTGGAAGGACCTGGGCCAGGGAAGAGGGATAAAATTCAGAGGCCGGGCCTGGAACATTCCTCACTTGGGATCCATCACTAGGGTTCCCACGGGGTAAAGGAGCAGAGTCAGAAGCCAGGCCTGCAGGTGCAGAACAGGAAGGGACGAAGAGCACAAACAGGCTGCCCAGCAGTGCCCCAGAGTCCCTGGCACCAGCCCCCTGGCTGAGCCCCAAGGCCAAGCTTGACAGCAGGCATTTGTTACCATGGAGACCCAGGCTGGGCTGGGGGCTGGCCAGTTAGAGCAGGCCCTTCCCCCAATGACAGGAGCCAGGCTCTCTGGCTCAGAGACCTTGGACCTGGATGGAACTCCTCACACCTGCCTCTCCTCACTGCCTGCCATTCCCCAAGCTTACCCCACCACCCCAGACCCCAGGCTTAAGCCTCTCTGCTCTTACCTGTGAGTCTTAGGGATTGAGGTCAGAAGGTAGCTCTTAATACTCCTCCAGGGAGTGAGAGCAGGTGAGGATGAGGGCATGGCTTCCCAAGAGGGAGCCGGCACCAATCAGTGGAGAGTCAGAATCAGGAGGTTGCCGTGGAAGAGGCAGAGTGTCAGTGGGGCCCCCAGCGATGGTGCCAGTGTGGGAAATGGAAATAACCAGGGGGACCGTGGGCACCTTGGTCCCAACTGCGCTGCTAACTAGCTGTGAAGCCCTCTCTGGACCTCGCTGGTGAATGAGGAGGCGGGACCAGGTGAAGCATCTCTTAAGGGCCCTTCCAGTTTTGACATTCTTTCTGATTGCTTCCGGGGCTTCCGAGGTGGCACAAGTGGTAAAGAGCCCGCCTCCCAATTGCAGGAGACAGAGACATGGATTGGTCCCTGGGTCGGGGAAGCTCCCCTGGAGGAGGAAAGGGCAACCCTCTCCAGTAACCTTCTCCAGCCTGGAAAATCTCACGGACCGAGGAGTTGGGTGGGCTACGGTCCATGTCGTCGGAAGGAGTTGGACCGAGCAGGCAAGCACGCATGCTGACTGCTTCCAACCCCGGCACCTGGTTACAAAGGTCAGGGCCGGGGGCAATGCTGCATCCCCCAGGCCAGCTCAGGCTCAGCTCACCCTGGAGCCCCCAGCGGGGCGCCTGGGGTGGAGCTGGGAGTGAGCAGGGAGTTGGACCCGGAGGTGTCCCTGCTTGTCAGTGGGTGGGGAGGGGTGGCAGACAACTTTGTGGATTGTTCCAGCTCAGGAAGGTGAGAAGGAGGCCTGAAGGTGAGAGTTTCTCCCTCTGCCTCATCTCTTTAGGTAAATAAATCTCCAGCCAGCACTTCCCCTTCTCTTCCCAACCTGGGGGCACTGTGACCTCCAGGGAGCCTACAGCTGAAGTGTGAGCTTCCCCCAGAGATGCCCCCTAAGCACTAGCCCCCTCCCACAGTCACCATCAGCCACCTTCTGCAGGGAAGGAACCATGGTGTAGAGTCCCTGCTCGTCAGCTCCCAGGACCGGGGACATTGGGGCATCTTGAATGGGAGCTGTGCTAGGCCGGGAGGGCGGGGATACTGTGGAAAGAATGCAAGTGGAAGAGAAAGAGCAGGGACTTTGGAAACCTGACCACGTCATTTGCTAGATGGGTCTGTGGATGTGTGTTAGTTGCTCAGTCATGTCTGACTCTGAGACCCCATGGACTGTAGCCCACTGAGCTCCTCTGTCCGTGGGATTTCCCAAGCAAAAATACTGGAGTGAGTTGCCATTTCCTTCTTCAGGGGATCTTCCCAACCCAGGGATTGAACATGGGTATCCTGCAGCGCAGGCAGATTCTTCACTATCTGAGCCACCAGGGACTAGCTGGGTATCCTGAACAAATGACCTACCGATGTGCCTCAGTTTTCTCGCCTGCAGAATGGGGTGATACCGGGCATGGTACTGGGCAGTGTGGGGCCACTGGGAGGTTGCTGGGCACTTTATCCCAGACAGCTGCTGGGGGATGAGAGCAGGAGGCCCCAGGCTCCTCTCAGCTCCCAGAGGCGCAAGAGATGGCTGCCGGCCTGGGGGGATGCCAAGTGGGGCTCAGAAGATATATCTCTGGCTTCTGCTTAAGTGTGACTATGTCATTGGGTCCTCCAACATCCCGAGGCATCACTCTGCCCATCTCTCAGAGGAAACCTCGGAGACCCAGAGGCGAGTGGCTGATGCCTGCTCTGCTCCAGTGGATCCACCCAGAGCCCCAGCTGCGCGGTCTCCCTGCCCCTGGCTCCCAAGCAGGAGCACCCCCTATTTGCTGCTAGTGGGGAGGGAGAGCCTTAACCCCTCCTTCCCAGTGGCCAGACAGCAGATAGGGGGAGCAAGGGGTGACAGAGGCAGTGGAAGCGCCTAGCCAAGCCCACCTCCTGCCCCCTGGAGGGAGGTTCCTCCTTTTAAGGCTGCTCCTGGTAATTTCCACCCGGAGAGCCAGAGTCAGCGACCCCAGGCCTGGACTGATTGATACCTGCGGCTCACCCTTGGGGAGGTGGGCCAGGAGGAGGAGAGAGGAGGAAGGACCCTGCTGTTGAGGTCCTTGAGGGTCTGGAACAACGCAGGAGCCTGTCTCCTGATCCAGGAGCCCCTAGCAGCTCCATCCTCTGCGCTTGGGCAGCCCCGCCTGAGGCTGGCAGCGGCCCCGCCAGTGGCTGCTTTGCAGTCTCACTGGCCGGGAAGGTGGACTCCTCACACCTCAGTCTCCCAATTATACCCTCCTCCCCCTCCCCCTCCGCCCCTCTCTCCTCCTCCCCTCTCTCTCCTCTTCTCCACTGAAAACCTGTGGCTCGAAGAGACCTTGGCTTCTCTGGGACTCTGCCCCTGGAGACTGCCCACATCTGCTCCTGACTTTGGGAGCAGGAGGGCAAACGGCCCCAAGAAACCTCTCCGGCAATGGGAGCCACCCGCTTGCTGCCCAACCTCACACTGTAAGTGCGCTGCTCTCTGACCCGGACCCCGCTGTCTTGTTGCCATTTCCAGCCTCCGGGGCAGACTTGATGGTCCTGGGACCGCCACAAGGACCAGGGGGTGGGCACCCGGGGCGCCCTTGGGCTGCTGTTTTGGCGCCCGCAACCAGGTCCACCTTGTCTCCCACACAGGTGCCTGCAGCTGCTGACTCTCTGCTGTCAAACTCAGGTAGGTGGGCATCCCCCCCCAGCTTCTCCGCCGTCTCTCTCACCCTACCAATGAGGGGGTTGGGGTACAGTCTCCTTCTGGTGGACAGAGGCATATCCTGGCCTCTGCTCCGGTGCAGAAGACTCTGAGGTTTGGGGGGCTGGGATGGCACGGGGTAGGAGATTTGGGGATTGATAGATGTTTTCATTTCAGCCCAGTTCCCCTCGGGTCTCTCCCACTCCCTCCAACCCTCCACACTGGGTTCCCCCCAAGGCTAAACGCACGTGGGCAGCCAAGCCTGAGGGATGGAGCCCGGGAGTGGTCGGAAGAGGGCGGAGGGGATGGCTCAGGTGAGGCTTGTATCAATACTTGCAAGTTCTCGAGAAAAGACAGGTTTCCATGCAAAACCACCTGTGTGTGCCACGCACCCCACCCCACTCCCACCAACACAGATGTCCTGCCGGTCATAGTCCTGGGGGGCATCTTGTGGGCACTCAGAATGCCCAGCCAGGGCGGGCGACTCCTTACCTATAGGGCAATGAGGTCAAGCCCAGAGGTTTGTATGGGACAAGACTCAAGGGTTTGCTTCTCCACACCCCCAACCCCAAGTCAGCCTCCCCCCAGCCGCAGCCCCCTGTGCGAGGCTCGGTCCCTTTTTGTGATCCTCCATAAAAGTGCAGCTATTAAAATGCACTGGTCCAGAACCGCTCTGGGGAGACATCGCTTGGCTTTCCCAGGCCAGAGGCCGGCTTCTCTTCATAGCCAGTGGGGACTTTTTTTGAAGGTAAATGCCTTTTCTCTGAGCGAGGGAAAGGGGCTGCCTTTGAAGCGGTGGGGGGGTGGGAGAGAGAGAGACACCCCCCCTTTTCCTTCCCCCTTTTGCTCTAGCCCCCGTTCCAGGCCTTTTGCTTCACACATCCAGGGAGAGCAAGAAGAAAGCCCCCAGCTCGGCCAGGAGGGGGCTGGGGGTGGGCCCAACCTGTTCAGGAGGGGGAATTAGCACAATGGTGCGGCTGGCCAAGGCGTTTATGGCCTGGCTGAGGCCCCATTCAGGACTCCGGGAAGGTGGCAAAGCTGTCCTTTCCCCCTTGAAGTGCCCCCTCGCCCCCTTGGTGGGGGGGCCAGCAGGCCGGACCACAGCCATGCTTGAGGAGCCGTCTGACAAGCAGCTGTCTGCGGCAGGGGAAGGGGAGGTCCCCCACACCCCCACCCCGCAGCGGAAACATGAAAGGGACAGGCCAGGTCCCGCGGGGAGAGCGACTTGTGGGCTGTGGGCTGTGGGGGGGCGTGGGGCTGCTTTTGTGCAGGGCTAGAGGGGGGATGGGGCGAGGAGGGGGTTTTGGGGAGGGGGCCCCCTCTCTGCTCCTGACCTGGAACAGACAGACAGGAGGAGGCTGCCCGCCAAGAGGGGCGGAGGGTCTGAACCTGGGCCAGGAGGCTGGGGCGGGGGACGGGCCGGACCTCCTCCCTCTGGCACGGAGGCAGGTCCTCCACCCCAAATGCTGGCCTCAGGTTTTCTCAGGGCCGTGGAGAAGTGGGATGGGCAGAACTGCTCCCACGGGCTGGGGTCGTGGCAACACTCCCAGGCTGTGGGGAGCTGGGGTCTGCCCTGGGCAGTGACACACACACACAAAGGGTTAACCCTGCGCAGGTTCCGCTGTCAGCCTGGAGCTGCTCCCTCCCCGCCCCCTCTCTCCAAGCTGGTCCTTCCCACCCCGCCCTCCAGGAGACGTAGGTCCCTCGCAGATGCTGGGGCTGGGGGGTCTAGCTCTGTCCGGATGGTTGCGATTGAGCTGGGATCAAGGTGGACTCAGGGATCTGGGGCATGGAAAGGCTGTCCCAGCACAGGCCAGCAGGATCCAGGTGGAGAAACATTTTAGAGCTAGAGCCGGAGCTGTCACCAGCAGCTGGGAAATGTCATCCAGGGGTGCACCCTGCCGGAGAGTGAGCAGGCAGGAAGCATTCTGCGGATGGATAGAGAGACCATGCTGGAGAAGGCACTTGTCCTGGCTTTGTATGGACCACAATGCATGTTGGCAATGGCCCCTCTCCCCACTGGGGAAGCAGCGGGAGGCAGCATCACCCCCAACTGGCCACGAGCCTCTGTTACATTGTGGCCTGGGCAGGCGGCCTCCCAGAACAGTCCCTGGGCCCCCACTGACAGTACCTCTCCACCTTCTTCCATGGAGGAGGCCTCTCAACCCTAGAGCAGGGAGGAATGCTGGATGGGGCAATGGCTTCTCCTAGGGCCCTGAGCACCCAGGGGGAGTGGCAGGGAGGATGGGCGGGACCTCAGGAGTTCTTGGTTCGCACTGTAAAGAGGTGTAAAGAAATGCTTCCAGGGGCCCTGCAGGAGCTAAAGAGAAGAGTTTTAGTGCCCCCACAATGGTCCATAGGCCAGCTGCTGTGTGTGCACGTACATTTGTGTGAATGTGCACACATTTATGTGTGTGCATGTACTGGGCGTGGCCTGTGCGGAGGACTGGAGAGACATCTGGTCACCCTGGCTAACAGAACCAAGCCCTTGGCATTTTGGAGAAGGGACAAGCTCCCATCCTAGATGCAGGGCAGGGGTCTGTCACTAACTGTCTGTGTGGCCGCATGCACCTCCTCCCTAGATCATGGAGATCACATAACACCAGCTTGAAGCTTCCGTCCAGCTCCCAGGGTCATGATTCCAGACCTGAACTGTGTCCCCAAGTGTCGCTCGAGCCTGAGCCTGGGCAGCCTCCAGTCCCCTGCTCCAGGGCAGACGAGGAGCCAAGAGGTCATGATGACTGACTCACACGCTGGCCTGGGGAGGTCACAGCCAAGTGCCCCCTGCACCCCACACCTCTACTTCACAGGGCAAACGACCTGCCCCTACCACACTCACCTCCGCACCCCTCCCCCGGATGGACCTGCGGTGGTGTCTCCCAAAGCAAATTGACACTATTTTTCCCTTGGTAACCGCAAAGGGGGAGAATCACCCGTCTCCTAATTTTAACCAGTACGTGAGGGACCAGGGTGCCATGACTGACCAGCTGAGCCGGCGGCAGATCCGTGAGTACCAGCTCTACAGCAGGACCAGCGGCAAGCACGTGCAGGTCACCGGGCGTCGCATCTCCGCCACCGCTGAGGACGGCAACAAGTTCGGTGAGACCCAGCCCTCACGGGAGGCCACCCACACCCCTGTCTGGCCTCGCCTGGTCCAAGGGCCCCCCCCATGCCCCTCACCCCCTCCCAAATTCAGAGGTCAGGCCCCCTGCTACATCCCTGGGCCGGCAGCCCCAATGGACGGAGGTTTCTCCCCCTCCCCACAGCCAAGCTCATAGTGGAGACGGACACGTTCGGAAGCCGGGTGCGCATCAAAGGGGCTGAGAGTGAGAAATACATCTGTATGAATAAGAGGGGCAAGCTCATCGGAAAGGTGAGGCCTGGGGGACATGGAGGAACAAATGAATCTGTCTTCTGGGGTGAGGGCAGGTGGGGTCCCGCAGCATCCCGCCACCCTCTGCCGGGTCCCACCCAGGACTGTGACTTCTGCGCTCACCCCATCATTCAGCCTCCCTCTGATCCCTCTAGGCCCTGTGGGTCTAGACACCCTCTGAGACCACTGGCTGGCCCATAAGGATCCTTGGCTCTGGTTTATGGGGTAATTTCTCAGTATAGTGAGGAAGAATTTTAGCACCTACATCATGCGCCAGCCCTCATGTTAAGGGCTAAGGCCTGATCAGTGTTGAGAAGGCCAGAAGTTCCCCTCTTAACCCCTGCCCGAGGTAAGTGGAGTCCACAGGCTCCAAGTGGCAAGATTCATACTAACCACCTACTTGTGTAACCGCTAGTCACACTCTCTGCAACGGTGGGTCCAGAGCTGTGCAGGGAGAATCCATTTCCTTTTGCATCAGCCCATCCTGCATGCTGACTCTGTCTGTTCTCAAATATTAGCTTATTTTTGTCAGTCTTAGTCTTCTCATCTGTAAAATGGGCATAGTGTCAAGATCATCTACAGAGCCAGATGGGTGGGTGCCTGGTTCTTGACATAGCCGGTATTCTACATACGTTTACCCCTTCTTTCCATCACCCTGTTGCCTACCCTCCCTCCACACAGCAACACCATTCACCCAGATCGAGGACCGTTCTGCTTTATGAGTGCCCCCGGGTATGCACTGAACTGCAAAGTTACCGGGACCATTACACCCAACTGGATGAGCCGAGGCTCAGCCTGGCTGCATACGTTGCTCAAGGTGTACAACTTAAAGGGCAGGGTTGTATTTAAGTTCAGATCCAACTTCAGCAATGTTTGTTCCTCTGTCCACCTTTGCCTCTCCATCAAGGGTGCCCACCTCACCAGGCAGGCATTCTCGGGCACCCAGTCTCCCTGGTCCCTCCTTGGTCCTATAACATCGGCCTATTAGGCAGACACGCCAGCCAGGGTGGGCGGACAAACTCCCCTTCTCTCCTTCCTCCCCTCGGTAGCCCAGCGGGAAGAGCAAAGAGTGCGTGTTCACCGAGATCGTGCTGGAGAACAATTACACGGCCTTCCAGAATGCCCGGCACGAGGGCTGGTTCATGGCCTTCACAAGGCAGGGCCGGCCCCGTCAGGCCTCCCGCAGCCGCCAGAACCAGCGAGAAGCTCACTTCATCAAGCGCCTCTACCAGGGCCAGCTGCCTTTCCCCAACCACGCCGAAAGGCAGAAGCAGTTCGAGTTCGTGGGCTCGGCCCCCACCCGCCGGACCAAGCGCACGCGGAGGCCGCAGCCCCTGACGTAGTCGGGGACCCGGGGGCCGCCCCTCACTCTCCGGCTTTCCCATCCCCTCCCTTCCTAATCCAAAGACTGGGCTGGGTGTGGGGGCCGGGGAGCCAGAGCCCCCAAGGGGGATGAGGACCACGGAGCATCACAGCCACACACCCCCCACCCCACCCCCGCTGGAAAGGGGCAGGGCTGCCGCTAACTAGGGCGGCTCCCTGGGGCCCCACGCTGGAGTCTCCCCTGAGGGTGGGCGGGCCCCCAGGAAGGAAGGTAGAAAAGTCAGGCTCCCTGAACCGAATGGGAAAATCAGCGGATTCAAGGCTCCTCAAATTCTCCTCCCCGCGGCTCCCTCAGTCTGCCCCCAGCCTCTGAATTCCTCCTGGCCAGACGGTAGGAAGGGACTTTTGTTTTGGTTTCAGAAAAGAAAAAAAAAAGAGGGAGAGGGAAAAAAAAAAAAAAAAGAGGGCTGGCCATTCTTCACATTCCACTACCCAGGCCTGCACCCCCATCCCTCAACTCCCAGCCCCGGAATAAAACCATTTTCTCGCAAACAGGTTATCTGAAGGGGGACGGGGGAACTGCAAAACTGAACTGGGGACAAACTGGGACAAACTCCTCTCCGAGAGGAGAGGAGGCGAGCGCAAAGGCCCGGGCGTGGCGCGACAGGTGGAGGCCGGGCTGGGCCCCGTCACGTCCCCGCAGGGGCAGGGGACACGGACAAGGGCAGCCGGGAGGGCGGGATGGTCCGGCAGGCCCCGCACCTCCACCCCGCGGGAGGCTGGCGGCCCACGACGCGCCCCTCCTCCGCGGGCTCGGGTTTCCTGGCTGGCACCGCGCGTCCCGTGCGAGCTGCTGGGGCGCAGAAACCCCGATCCTGGGGCCGGCCGGAGCCACCGGGGCCGAGGCCGCAGCCTCCTCGCCGGGAGCCAGATTGCTTTTTTCCGGTGAGGAGGTCGGGTGGGGGAGGAGCGCGGAGGGGCAGAAGGGGAGGCCGGACGAGCCCGCGGCCCGAGCGCCCGGGTCCGCGCGGGGGCGGGGCGGGGGCCACACCTGGGGGAAACGCGCTTAGAGCTGCGGCGGGAGAAGGCGGCTGTGCCGGGCGGCAGGGGCGATCTTCCCTCGCCTTCCTCCCGGAGCTCCTCTGGTGGGCTTTCCAGGTGCCTCCAGGTGTGCGTTTGGGAAGTGGAACTAAGAGGCCATAAAACCCGCCCCTTTCCTCTTTTGTCACGGCTTTTAATCTTGTCAAGGGGGGAGGCCCTTCCTAGCAATGGCCCCTTCTCTGCTTTTCTCTCAGAACACTTCCCTGAGCCCTCTCTTCTGCGGATGGACCCCCCCCAGCCTCAATTTTCCTTCCCTTTCTGCGCAAATGTTAAGGGGAGGGGGGGGTGTGGATTTGGGAGAGAGAAGAATGAAAGACATCCCTTTTTCCCCTCTTCTCCCAACAGTGGCCTAAAAATAAGGAAAGAATGGAAAGTGCGGAAGGTGGGGTCTGGTTTAGTCAAAAGGGGAGGTGAATGGAGTGTGGTCCAAGTGGACGGGGGTGGGGGGATCAGTCACCTCTCCTGGGTGAGGACTGGAGACCAGGCTGACAGCCCCAACTCCTGGGGAATTTAGACGGCCATAGCCAAGAGGGAGGTCCCCAACCCATTCTCCCTCCAGCTTGCCATAATTGCTTTTCACTAGGTTGCTTTTTCCTCTTCCCCCCCAATCACAAAGAGTCTTAATCCTGGCGGACACTGCGGGAAACGTGTAGGAGTCGTTTTCTTGGCGGGGGTGGGGGGGGTGGGTAGTAGGGAGGGTGGTCTGGAACTACTGCACAAAACGGGCGAGTTCAATGGGATTTTCACGGAAGGGGCAACGCCCCGCAATTACCTGAGGACAAAGGGTTGGGGCCCCAGGTGTGGAAGACTGGACTTGGGGGGCTGAGGGAGGGGGCTGAGAAGGAGGTGTGCTGGGGAGGGGAGTTCTTACAATCCCTCTGATTTCCGCAGGAATTTGAGACATTCTTTAAAACTCTGGACCATTTCCCCCCAGCCGGGCTCTCAGGCCCACCCCCACCCCTCCCTGGCTGGGGTTAGAGAGAGCTTCAAAGGTGCACGGGGCCCTTTGTCTTGCCTCCCCTTTCTTCTCTGCCTTTCTCCGGCCCCTCCCTCCCTCTCTGTGACCTCCCCAGCTCAGACAGGCCTCTGGGGGCCGGCTCCAGAAAGCCCTCACTGTTTCCTTTCTTGCTTTTAGAGGTGGCGAGACCTGGCGGGGAGGGACAGGGAACGGGGAAGGGTGAGAGAGGAAGGCAGCTGGGGAGGCCCGCGCCACCTCAGACAGTGCCCTAGCCCCACCCCCACCCCGAGCCTGGCAGGTCTCCCCCCACTCGTGGTCACGGTCCCGGCGGGGCCCTCTGGCTGGGCCCCCAGAGCCATCTCAGCCCACCTTTCCGTGTGCAGAGTGCAGGCTCCGCACCCGGGGTGCCTCTTCATGCTCTGGGGAGATATGTGTAAGGCGAGTGCGGAGGAAAAAAGAGTGTGTTCAGCTCATTCCCTCCCACCTGGGTGATTTCCAAGATGCTGAAAGGAAGAAAGCGAAGGAATGGGTCTCTAATACTGGGACCTGGTGTGGATGCATCGGGGGGGTGCAGAGGTGGGATTGAAAGTATCTATGACTGTGGCAGGAATTTGAAGGAGAATTCCCGCAGACCTCCGGGTTGCTTCTGGGCACCCTAAGTCTCCAAGCCCGCGTGAGGGTTGAGACCGGACACGGTCGGGGAAGACACTCACGGTAAGCTGAACACCTCCGCTTCAGGGAGGGTGTGGCAAGAGGGGGGCGGTGGCAGCTCTCCTCAAATCCTGTGCTCCCTTTAGGAAGCCCAAGAACTCTGGCCAAGAATAGCCTACCTATTGATCTCACCCTTTCTGTCCTGTCCTCCAACAGCCAGCTGAGGCAAGAGGGCAGCTGAGGCAGGAAGCCAGGGCAGACATCTTCTCAGGCTTCAGCCCTCTGAGCTGGCTTCTAACTAACGTCTCTCTGTTCAGTCCCTCTGACTCGCCTGGCTGTGACGTCCCAGTCACCCAGCCCCAGTCTCACTGCCCTGGACACTTGGAAGGACCACCTGTCCTGGAAGCTCTTTCCTCCCCGGCCTGCCCTAGACCGTCCTTTTTTTTTTAGACCGTCCTTTCTTCCTTCCATCTCAGACTGTTCCTTTCCTGGCCCTGCTTCGTAGAAACGTGCCCCGAGATTTTTGCCTATTTCTTATTCCCCTGTCTCTTTCTGAGAAAACCAGCGTGTCAACTGCCACCGCCTTACACCCAACTGCTTTCTCCACCAAACTCTGCACCTTGGCTGGACTTCCCAAGCTGCAGAAACACTGAGTTCTGTCTCAGTGACTGAAATGGCTTTCCACGCGGTCTCTCTCCTAAGCACACACTCCTCAGGACATCACATAGTTTGTTCAAATCGCCTTACCTTCTCTTAAACTACAGCTCTGCCACTATCACACCATCTTTAGCAGACTCAGCATGGCTTGCAAGCCCCTGCCACGCAGCTTGTGAGATCTTAGATCTCTGACCAGGGGGATAAACCCTTTCCCTCTGAAGTAGAAGTGCAGAGTCCCAACCACTGAATTGCCCAGGAATTCCCGCTGGACCCATCTTTGCTCATGAGTTTCCCACTGCCCAGGATACCCTTCGCCAGCATGCTAGCATGTCCAGACCACAGCCATCTCCTCAGCTCCACAGATGCCCTTCACTCCCCCAGGGGCGGTGGCCATCTCTACTGTCCTTGGTTCCTCTGGCCATCAACTTGCCCTGGCTTTAGGGCACATATCACAGCTTTTCCAGAACTGTACTTACCATGTTCATGTCATGGTTCTGCAGGACAACAAGGGACTCCGATGTAGATTCAGTCAGTCTTTGGCTCCCCCGTAATACCCAGCACGGTATGTGACACAGAGTATTTATTGAAGAAATAAACCAACTGGAGACCCAAAAAGAAGTCAGTGGCCATTGGCCCAGCACCTGTGGTCCCTGAAGGTGGAGGTAGGATGAAAAGTCAGAATCCTGCCTCTAAGCTCCATCCTTCGGTGGACTTGAGCAGGAGGGGTCCTAAGCAGTTAATCCAAATATTTATGTATTTCCTACAAGATACAGCCGCTGTGCTAGTCCTTCAGTTACTAAAAAAAGAGGGACAGGATAGTGTGTCATCCTCTGTCAAACTCAAGATGCTTTAAGTTTAATTGAGGCAGGGGTGGATCAACCTATGGGGCTTCCCAGGTGGCCGGAGTGGTAAAGAACCCACCTGCCAATGCAGGAGATGTAAGAGATACGGGTTCAATCCCCGGGTTGGGAAGATCCCCTAAAGAAGGATGGCAACCCTCTCCAGTATTCTTGCCTGAGAAATCCCGTGGACAGGGGAGCCTGGTGGGCTACAGTCTACAGGTCATAGAGTCAGACTCGTCTGAAACAACTTAGCACATAGGCTATACCTATAAAAAGGCGGTTCTTTTAAGGACTGTGGGAATCTCTCTTACTCCTAATGGATGTACCAAAGATTGCAAAGCAGCATTTGTACATTCACGGGACTGCCCTAATGGTTCAGTGATCAGGGATTTGGGCTTCCATTGCAGGGGCGTGGGTTTGATCCCTGGTCAGGGTACTAAGATCTCACATGCCACAGTGTGGCAAAAAAAAAAAAAAAAAGGTGGTACATCCCCAAAGAGTGAAAGGGGAGGAAATAAAGACACTGATGTGTACTGAACTCCAGAGATGTGCCAGGCAGCACACAAGGTGAGCTCACGTGGAACCCCTCATTTATCGGGTGAGATTATTCCCATGTCATGCGTGGGTGGGCTCAGACTCGGAGATGTTAACTCACCCACCCCGCAGCCAGGGAGGAGGATAGTCCAGATTGTCTCCTGTCTGTGACACCTAGAGTGTGATGTCCTCCACTCCTCGGCCAGGCACAGTGGGTCCAGGGATGTATACAGCGGGGCGGTGCTGGGAAGGACTGGGGTTTGCATGATCTTGAAGAATGAACAGGATCTCTGTTAGCAAAGAAGACCTGCAAGGGGGAAATACTGAGAGTGAAAACAGCAGGGGAAGAAGGGCTTCGAGGCAGGGAAACGCTGAGATTTGTTACAGGGCAAGGAGGAGCTGTGAGCCGTGAATGGGTTTGGCTGGCACTGAAAGTTTGCATTTAGGAAGTGGCAGGAAAGGATTGAGCCAAGCTATGGCGATTAGGTCTCTGCTGCGGCAGGAGGAGATGGTGAGCGGCTTCAAGAAAGGTGACCGGAGGTAATTGTGGGGTAAGGGACTGGAGGAGTTGGGCTGGTCTGGGGCAGCCGCTGGGACTAAGGTTCTGGGATCTGACAGTCAGAGTCCAGTGCTCAGAGATAGGGCATGTATGAGATAGGGCATGATGAGAAAGGCTCATTTGGAGGCGCTTGTCTTTCTTTTTGTTCCGCTGACTCAATTCTCTGGCACTGTCCCTTCTTAGCCACCCAGGGTCCCAGCCAGCCTCTCCAGGAGTTAATGTTTAGACCTCCTCGGGCAGGTCATGCAGGGGGCGGGGCAAGGGGTACTGGAGTGAGACCAGAGGAGGGCACAGGCCCCAGGGAGAGGGCAGGCTGCAGGGCCCGCATCCAATCAGGACAGCTGGCACCAGTGACCTTGCTGGGGAAAGAACCAAGAACTAGGTATCTTGGGCCTGGGACCACCCTCCTGAGAGGGGCAGGAGCCCCAGCCCCCTCCTGTGGACCCCAGCACCCATCCTCAAGGCCTTGAGGCACTGCTGAGCCTAAAGGTAAGCTCACTCCTCTCGTTAGCAGCCTGCTGGATGCAGCCCAGCGGTGCCCAGGAAGCCTGCCCAGGCCCAGCTCACAGGTAACCTGGTGTTCAGGGGTGCTTGCTTCTGGGATTGAAGCTTTTGCCTCCAGTCTCCTCCCAGCCTGATGGGGTGACCGGCAAGCAAGGGGGAAGACTGGACCATTCCACTGGCCGTGAGGAGTCTGGGGCCTCACCAAGAGGAGAGGGCTAGAGGCAAAGCAAGTCTCCCCACAGGGCAAGACCAGAGAGGAGGCAGGAGAGGGAAGGGCCTTCTGGCCTGGCTGTGCCCTCGCAACACACACACCACACACACACACACACCACACACACAACACACACACATCACGCATACACCACACACACACACCACACACACATACACACACCACACACACACCACATACACACACACACACCACACACAGCACACACACATACACACACCACACACACACACACTCCACATACATCACACACACACACCACACACACACACACTCCACATACATCAC